CAATAAGAGTAAATTTGGCAGGGAAGAATCGTTTTTATCTAAGCGACGTTGAACCAGAACTTTTTGCAGGTTTAGGGCTTTCGCATAGGGAACCTGTGAAAGATAAATATAAGGAAGAACGGGAAGCGAAATACCCGAATAAGCACGTCGAACCATCTGAATCATTGGATAAATTGGAACAGTTTAATGTCTATCATATTTAGCAAATCGCATTTACGTTGATAACGTTCGTTGTACTGACACACTTTATAATACTGTATGCCTACAGAAAGAATTTCTAAACGAAATAATTAAATTAATTTTTTTATTCATCATATCGTTGCATTTACTGTACATTATTGTAATAATGAATTTTATTTAAAATAATTATTTTAGCTAATGTAATTCTAAAATATAATTTGGTTACTATAAGAATTAATAATTTCTTTTTGAATATCCATAATAAACAATGTTATATACGTACATTTTGAAAGAATGATATTTTTATACAGTATATATATACTGTATATATATCCATTTTTAATTGCAAGTGTTGTATTAACAAGGTAATACTTTTTTAATATTTACTAAAAAATTGAATAGTTAACTATTACATTGATTTGATAAAATTGATTATACATTTATTGTGTTTGCAAGAGATGCAGTAATGGTAGTTTTATATTTTTTTTAATAAAGAATCTAAAATATTGAACAACCACTTTGAAACAAACATTTTTCTTAACCTTTGACCTTACTTTAAATTTCCATGCCATAATGTTTAATTAAAGAAATTTATATTAGAAATTTATAAACCTATTTTATTCTGTTATTAAAATATTCGAAAGTATAACGTGTATTGGTAATATTAAACTTGTATTTTCTCAATCAAATTTTTTCGGATATTCGCAATATACTCCGGAGTAATTTGGCAACAACCGCCCATGATTATTTTATTGTTGGATTGTTTTACCCAAGTCCTCGTTAGAATACCGAATTCATCTAAGAACACAGATTAGATTTAATCGATCAAAGGTGATTTGTAAATGATGATGAGACAAACCTGAGCTCAATCTTGTATCTAAATCCCAAAT